AAGCATGGTACAATAATCTCTATAAAAAAGAAAAACGTCCCATGATTCGCGTGTGGGCTGGATACTGCCAGGTTGTCCAGTCTAAGGCAGGTGAATTTTCTTGAAGAATCCGCAACCGGAGCCTTCGGTTAGCCAAAGCCTGGCCCGTAAGACAGCGGGGTGGTGTGTGCCAACCGTAATGCATTGAGGGCCGGTGTCCAGTTCATCGGATCATGCGCCCTTCGGCCGAGGTCAAATATCCAAGGTGCCCAATCGAGCCGATGACCACTGCCACAACCGGGAAGGTGTGTGGTTCGTACGCCTCGTCTTGGTTGGTGCGGAATTAGGGTTTTCGGCCAACTCCCCTAGGTGAACTACCACAAGGTTCACCAATCCAGTTATAGCACCGGATGCCGGCTTTCGTTCTCTCACTTTGGTGAGGAAACACCGCCGCTAGAAGGCAGTGAGCAGGTCTTCTTCAGCAGAGGCTATTTGAGAAACTTGGTTTTATGGGAGCATTTTGCGAAGTGCAAGAGAAGGCTGATCAGCCGTAACTCTAGACACACCCCACCACACTCAGGCTTTCAGAGTTCATGTGACATTAGGAAAACAAACTCACAATTCTTTACTTTTTAAGTATGATTAAACACCGTATTTTCATACATGTATATAATTTCGATCATCTGAAACAGTTTAGCGTTTGATGAAATAAATATTCAATGGAGTTTATAAAATACGCTCTCCTACTCTCGTCAACATGGAAACAGTGAAATGATGAGCAACTTATCACTGACTAAGATAATAATTAAACTCTCCACTGTTTGCAAGTATCTTTTACCAGATGCTTTGAAAAATAAGTAGGCTGTGATAAAACAAGAGTAAAAATGAGCTGATCAGCTCAATAAAAGCAATGTTCCTTGAATAAGTGGAATAGTTTCCCCCGGGCATTTTCAGCACAGTTATTTTTGAGTACCGGTGGAGAAAGGATCCGCGCAGGTGAATATACGACTACTGATGAGCTCTTATGCGGGAAAAATTCTAAGACCCGTGATTCCCGAGGGTATCGTTCACTCCATGAACTGTGGATTGTGCTCAAATACAAAAGTTTGAAAAATCGTTTCTTGTTCTCATTGATAAAAATAAATACCAAATGGGAATTCGTCGTGTATATAACAAATGAAGCGTGAACTGAAAAGCTCGGATGGATTCGCACTGCTGATGAGACCCAACTAGGTCGAAACAGCTGTCCAGTGCTTCCGAGCTTTTCAGTTCACGTTTCATTTGCTATATATACGACGAATTCCTATTTGAAATTTAGCCAAATCCTACATTACTCACATTAAAAATAAATACGTTCTACATATTACCGACTTACCGAATCCGTGTCGTCTCGATACTCGGCAAGAACACCCAAATTTGTATACGCCTCAGGATGATTGGACTCGTAGGCTAACGCGATACGCAATGCCCGTTCGGCTTGAACAAGATCTCCCAACCCCTGTGTGATCGATGAGATAGAACAATGCGAACTAGCTTCATTAGATCTGCGGCAGTCTGACTTTTCTTATGCAAAACGTCATTAGTCAGCATAGTTAAAACGGAAGCGAATTTCAATTCAGACATGACACTATAAGAGGAATCTGCGGTATTCAGATAAAGAAGAACATACCGCTGTATGTAAGGAGTTAGATCAAAAGGTATCGGAACAACCTGAGGTCAACGAATGTTGAAAAAATTTATTTTCTAAAACTTTTGATGCTGCGAAACGTGATTAAGAAATGAGAAGGCGTGGCAGTCGCATGCTGCATTACATTTTGATTGAAGAAGGTTCAATCGATGTGCTCGTATCGTCAAACCAGTTGACACATCTTATACAACTGCAGTGTTTTCTTGTAACGTGCAATGCTCCTGTGAATAGAAATCTCAAATGCAACATAAACGGTACATTCTTTTGCATTTAACAAGCCTTGAAATAAAGCAAAAAGTCATCCTATAAACAAGAATGATTCGGTGCCATATCTCCACTT